ATACATCTATTTACCTGAACAACTTAGACACCTATACCATTTATTGTACAAACACATACATCTATTTACCTGAACAACTTAGACACCTATACCATTTATTGTACAAACACATACATCTATTTACCTGAACAACTTAGATAACTATACCATTTACTGTACAAACACATATATCTATTTATCTGAACAACTTAGGAACCTACAATTTTCTCTTTCATATATTGTAATTTTCTCCCCATGAGTGAAAATATAAAAATTCATAAGAACACCCTTAGAAACAGTTCTAAAGTTTCACAAGTCATACCTTAGCAATATCTTCACGAATCCGTAGGTTTCGAACAGTAATTCGCTGTTTGCTGTCTACTTTAGTCCCAGGCATATCAGCATTGTCGGCATATTTCTCTTCATCATCATCCATATCACTGTCCATGTCATTATTCTATTACAAACAAAAAACATTAAACACTACAATGACATCAGATGGGTAAAAAAACAAAGAACATTATTATAGTACATCAGTTTAATGTATAAGCTGTGAATTGCAGCAAATATGAATACGTCACATTTTGTTACTACTTTTGGTATATGGAAATAAAATAAGCTTTTTTTTTCCTGCTTTAATTTATCACAGTAACTTATAGGAATCCTCCTATCGATTCATCAACAGAAGTGAATTTAATAAAATAATGTGACTCAGGTATTAACCCTTTCTCCTCAACAGCCATTTTTAAATTCCTTTCTGCATTGGTATTGCAGTGATGAGAAAGGGCAGGAAGTGAGTGAAATGAGAAACTATCGGAAATACATTTTCAATGCTAGAAAATGTTAACTTCCAAAAGGGTACTACCTCCCCTCACCCAAAGCTAAAATCCCACATTGCAAAGGTGGAGGGGTTGGTGAAGGTGCAAAGGTAATCAAACAAGTGGAGAACAATCGCCATGAAGAACAGATGTGCCACAATTATAAAACGAGGCACAGCTGTGGGGTATAGCACTACTTCTGGAATAGGTATGCTCTTTGGCCAGCAATGAACAAAGTAAGACACTTGGGGCAGAACTTAATAGACAGACACCATGTCATGTAATACAGATTCCACCCTTGGACAACAAATGGTAGATAAGATATCCACATGAGCACATGACACAATCATAGTCAGATTTCAAGAAGTGCCTGGAATCAGATATAAGAATACGTGGCTAAGGCTAAAGGACTGTAAATGTATATGAATAGACTAACTGCAGTCCTCCCAGGCAAAAAACATCCAGGGAAAGCACCTTGGGATACATCAGATTATGCCAAGTGCAGTCCATCCAGTCAAAAACAACAGTGGAAGCACCTTACATAAGACTGTAAGATCAACAAATGCAGTCCACCCAGGCAAAAAACATCCAAGGGAAGCACCTTGTGTTTGATTGAGTATGACAAGTGCAGTCTATCCAGGCAAAAAACATCCAGTGGAAGTGCCTTGCATAAAATTGTTTGTTTCACATCTTGCACACAAGTTATTTAGAGATCAACAAGTGCTGTCCACCCAGACAAAAAACATCCAAGGAAAGCACCTTTTGTTTGATTATGCCAATTGTAGTTCAACAGGACAAAAAAACATCCAGTGGAAATGCCTTGCATAAAAAAAATTATTTCATGAACAGCAACTGTGATCAGCCTGGACAAAAACATCTGGGAGAAGAGCCTTGTGTTTGACTGAGTATAGCAAGTGTGGTCCATCAGGGCAGAAAACATCCAATGGAAGTGCCTTGGATTGAGCATATTATGATAACGTATAATGATTATATCCCTGTTCTCACAGAGTGGGTACATATGACTATGAAGTGTGTTTTATCATACAAATCCCACTCCAGAGGAAACCTCCATGGTCCAACACTCCAGCAACTGGGAACTGGAAGTAACAAGGAATCTACTACATGCTCTACTACAAGAAAAGGGGGGGGGGGTATTGAGAAGTCTGGAGAAATAACACACTTGGGACAGTGCAATGTATGTCTGCGATTCCCTATTTTGAAAAGCAGAAACACCCTGATTGTAAGAATCATCATGAGTCAGTAGAAATGGGCAAAAATCTTCTATCTGCTTTACTCATGAAGTCCACGAGTGACAATCCTTTATATTGACACAGTGAGAAGAAACAAATATATAGACGTATACGCACACCTGGATAAATGGCTGGTGGTCTTACAGAAACACCCCATCTCCACAGTGAGCATTAAGGAAGTATACAGATTTAGTGCCAAGATATAATATTCAGCATATCTGACCAAGCAACACCTGCCACCAGGTGGGGTCCTGAAATATGACATTTATTAACAAATTAGTATAAAGAAGAATCAGATGTCGCCTTACCCCAGGCAAAGGCAAACAGATGTGTGTAGAATCACCACAGGAGGAGGATGATACTCCTCAAGGAAGACATAGCTATGTTGTGCAAATAAAACGTGACAAATGGATTGGGAGTTGTCCATATACCAACTTGAACAATCTCCTCCAAAAGATGGAGGTTGCAAGCAGCTAAAGACGTAGTTAGATGACAAATGTAGGGTGAAGAAACATGATGTAGATAGAGACCGTCCATGGACACATCAGAATATGCCAGTTGTATGAGTTGATGAATCCAACCAATGAGCATAATAAGTGAAAAGATCACTGGAAACAGAGGAATTCCATGGAACAAAAAGACAGAAATGAGAACCATGAAAGAAAGCAGTATGAACCATATAACATAACAGGTAATGACCTGGACAAAGTAGATGATCCAGATCTGAACAGGAGAACATGTGGGAAAAGGAAGGTAAGGAAATAGGAGAAAAGGCCCAACAACCTTCCTGGGCAGCCAATATCCTGGGATGGAAAGCCTGATCTGGATAGTGGATAACATACAAAGAATGGTAAAGGATGCAGGAGAACAGTGAGATCTCAAATTGGCAGAACAGAGGAATGTGGAGGATGGACCACATGAAAGGACCAGAAAAGGAGGGAAATAGCTAAGGAAGAGAAGGCATTCTGGAAGTGAGAGAAAGGAAGATGTTCGATAGAGCAGCCCTAAAGAGACCAACAGTTGAAACAGACAAACCCTGAACAAACAACCAGATGAGGAACAGAAGGACGGGATGGTCGGAAACCATGACCTATAGATCAAAGTCTGAAGTAAGACCAAAGCCTCTGGTATATAGACAAGGAGGAAGGGTACAGCCGAGGAAAGACGCTATACAAGAGGTGAATCCCAGAGCTGAGGTACAGGACTGAATGAAAATCACATGTGAAGCTGGAGTGTGGTGACATGGGATGAATAACATCTGATCTTGGTTGTAGGAGGAGCAATCAGGACAGTAAAGGCCAGAGCAGAGGGAACCGTGTCTGATCCAACCAATAAAGAGCAACCAAAAAAAACAACAACGAGTAATCTGGATAAGGGGAAAAGACCCAGGTGAAGAGTTTGATAGGATGGTGGGCATATAAGTGAAAACCCCTCCAGTCTGGACTAAAGCATCCACCCCCAGAGCTGAGGGATGAGGAATTGTAGACCAAAAATGAAGGAAGTTTGGCATTCCAGTGAGTGAGAAACACACATATATATGCAGATTTTCCAGTTGAGAACACACTCACAAAAAAACCTGAGGATGAAGGGACCACTCCGTGGGGAGAATCTGATTGAGATGTGATAAGTGATTGGCCAGAAGATTCATAACTCTGGGAACATGATATGCCAGAACAGTCATGTCGTGGTCAGTGGTCTAGTACAAAGTCTGAAAACACACAGATCTGGACTTGGTTCCCCCTGCTTGGTAATATAGCTGACAACAGTGGAATTGTCAGAATGAATCATAATCACCTACACCTACAGGAACTGGAGGAAATGATACAGAGCCAGATGAACTGCAAAAGGTTCCAGGATGTGGAAATAGAGAGTAGCTTCCTCGACTGACTACCAACCCCAATTCTCTGGGGAATCAAGGAAAGCACACCAAGAAAACATCTGAAAACAGGTGAGACTCAGTATGAGGCAGAGGAATGGAAAACCCCACTGTGGTCAAGTCCCTGTTGACCTAAGGGAAGAAGAGCTTCAAAGGAAGTCCACAACCCCAAAAGAGAGAGAACCTCTTGTGCAAAGAAAGAAGAAGAAGTTAGGGCCTTTACGACTGTCCGCTCCATATCCCGGAGCCTAAGTGGAGAAGGCTGGGCTCAACTGAGATGGGAAGTGAAGAGAACCCCCAAATGAATAAGATACCAAGATGGGGTAGTGAAGGACTTCTCCAACTTGATGAGAAACCACACCCAAGCATCTACTTGAAGAAGTAAGCGGGTGTTAGTGACTGACTGGGCATGGGAAGAGGTGAGCAGAAGCCAGTCGTACATGTAATAGGGAATCCAAAGACCCAGTGAGTAAAGATGACATGCAAAATAGCATACCACACGACAAAACACATACGGAGCTAAAGAAAGACCAAATGCCAGTGCCCAAAACTGGAAGATAGAACCTTCATTGACAAACCGAAGAAAAAAAAACGTGACACTGGGGCAAAAACCCACCAAAGTGAGAGGTAGAACTTCAGAGTGAAGCAAGGTGTCTCCAGATAAGAATATAGTTGGAAAAGAGCTATGATAGGACACCAATCTCCCGTATATTTTGGAGAAAACAAACAGACAGGAGTAAAATCCCAATTAAGTGGGCCCCACCCGTTCGTAGAATTCAGACACAAAAACATTTCTAAAACAAATGAATAGAAACAATGGAAATCAAACACAAGAAGTTGAAACTTGAAGTTTAAACTGATATAAAGTTATGATCAAGCACAATCAAAATCTTGTAGTAACAGAATGAGTTAAAACACATGTCTATACATGAGAATGCCAATTGAGAAAGTGAGGATTGTACTGCAATGGTAGAAGGAGCTACCTGCAATAATATAGGTGGTGCAATATGATTGGTGGAGGGTAGTTACATGATCAGTACATGCTGCAATGGTGCAAAAAAAAATGAGGGGGTATAAAAGACTGGTGTGCTGTTGAAAAATTTTAGCCATGCTTAGAGGACAAGTCAAGGTCGAGATAGCTTTGGGTGAGAGGATGTAGTACTATTTCAGAAATATTTATTTTTCTCCACATATAAAAAAATGCTCACTTTCATGCTCAAACTCATCTCTGCTCGAATATAAAAAAACACGTCTGAGCTAAGCTTTATAAAACAAAAATTATAAAAAAAATTTTATGAATTAACATTCTTCACATAAAATGTTCTTTGTTTTGATGTTCATGGGAAGCTAAACAAGGATTATATGCAATAGCCTTCCTTAATGTTGAAATGGGATACTCTTCTTCATTCAACTTGTATGCCAGATATGATTCACTTTTCACTTTTTTTTTTTTATGAGATCTTTAAAATCAAGTTATCTTTACCTTTCTAAGGTGCATGTTTTTCTTCCTTAAATGTCAATAATTAACAATAAAGTCTCATTCCCACTTATTTACTGGGACAATAAAAAACTTTTTACAGTCTGTTGAAGACTTTAATAACTCAATAGCTTTTAAATGTGTGCTTCACTTTTCCAATATTGGAAGGTTTTATTAGGAAATTAAAATAGTATATTATATATGCCTCTATACAGGTTTTGTTTGTTTATTTGTTTCTTGGTTAAGATATATACAGAATCAGATGCTATCTCTACAATGAATCTAATAATATTAAATACATACCTGTTCTCTGATTACTGTAATCTCTCCAGACAAAAGATCTTGTTTTAAACGTTCTTCTTTTTGTTGTCGTTTTGCCTAGAAGTAGGAATTTATACACTTCAGTGACATTTATCTAAACAGCTTTCAAACTCATTTTGTATTAAACTGTAAAAATAGATAATTAATTATCTATACTCTAACAAGAAAAACTACAGAAATCACATTTTAATCAACAATAATCTTAAGAAATGTTCATGAAAAGAATTTGTAAAAACCTAAACCTTATATTACCAAAATATAATAGTTTTCTCAAAATATAATCCTTGTTTTATATATATTTCAGTTCAATTCTAAGAGATGAAATATTCTTTAATTAAATGAATAATACTCTGAACAACAGAATATAATTACTAAGTTTGTATGCCTGGTGAAACGGGAAAAATTTAATATATAAATATAAAAAAAAATGTATACATGAACTATATGATAGCATAAGACTTCTAATAATTATACATTTTACTTTCCGATTCAAAATAGAAGAGTAGTCAAATGGACAAATTTTTACCAAATATACACAGTGTTATCAAACAAATAAATAATTCAAGTTTTCTTTTAAATGTATGCAAATATTTTAATCATTTCATTCCAAGTGTTAAGCATGGCTGACAAAATGAACTGTGTAAGTAGAGTGGAAATGAAGAACATTTTTGTCATTCTTAATATTAATTTTGGATAATTAAAAGCTTTTCAAAATAGTAATAAAACCTACAAAACCTGCATTTTGAAATTTCTCTAAAACCTTTGTTAACAGAAGGAATAATTAGCGAAGTGTTACATTTTTTAAGTCAAATGATACTCAGTTGTTCATTTCATTATTTTTACTTAACATTTTGCCTTACAAAGACTTCTTGCGATGTGCCATGTAATTTAACGTGAGTGGGGTCTGTTTGTAGTCAATAAACAGAAAAACTATAAACATTCCATAATTTCATTTTGCTTAACTGTGAAACTTGAGCTTTTTATTTTTTCAAAACAATCATAGAATATTCTTTCACTGCTTTTTTCTATTTTTCTATTACGTTCAAAATTTTATTGAGCTACATTATGTTTATGTTATACCAATTAGAATCGCATAAAATCTTAGCTAATAATCCATGTTTTAATAGTATACAAGTTTTAATTTCTTTTTTCTACAAGGGAATATTTTAGAAAATCCTGAATTTCCACTAGTTTTTACCTCACAGGGTTTCCAAACAATGTTGAACAAAATATTGTTAACAAATAGAATGTCCTGATTGAATTTCATTAAACACTTAATAAATCAAGAGATAACCTAAATAAAAAATATGTCCCTATGACAATTATTATTCTGAATAAACATAATGACAGTAGACAGGACATTAATCATGTGGTGACTTTTTTAAACTGTCAACTTATGAAAATTACACTGAAACTTTGATAATGTTATGCACATACTGAATATATGTATATATATATATATATATATATATATATATATATGACAATAATAATACAAACAAACACCACAGAACAACTAAAGTTAGGGTAGTGAACTAAATAGTGGAACTTATGAACGTGTCTTAGTGAGAGGTATC